TGGTGTCAGCGTAGCGCCGCTGGCGCCGACAGCGCTCCCGTCAATCGCCGCAAGCGGCGGCACCTCACCGTCGTCTACGATGAGGGCTATCAAAAAAATGAAATCCTCTGCCCTACATGGCGGCGGTGGCGGTGGCGGCGGCTGTCCCACGGGTCGCAGCGCACTCGATTCACCAGCCAACAGCATACGCCGCCGCCGGACGTCTGTACAGGCGGCAGCTGCCGCCGCCGCCGCTGCCGCCGCCGCCGGCGGAGCATCTCGTCCCTTCAGCGCCGGCGGCGTCACGACAGCGTGGGGGCCCGGTGGTGGAGGTGCCGGCGGCGCTGGCGGTCATCGCCCCGGAAGCGTGCTCGGAATGGTGCCGGCAGTGGCGGGGAATACGGCGTCTGTGGCGACGGGGTCGGTGTCGGTGATGTCGGGGAACAGCGTCATTGGTATCCACCGGTCTGGCCCAAGCGGTAACCTTCAGGAGATGTTGGGAAAAAGGTAAGCAGGTTTGCGGGTGTGGGGTGTGTGGGGCTGTGAGTGCAGCTGCGGTGAGATCGCTGTATTGCGTAATTGCGTAATTATGTCCTATTAGCCTTCATGGCTTGCTGTACGGTTGCGTTCGAGGTGCCGGATAGGACAGGGCGAGGCGGAACCGGGGCTGCCAAGGGCCTTACACTACTGCAGACAGAAAAGATAGCAGGAGGGGCCCTCTGGCTCAGGCGAGGCCCAGGTTGCGCGTGGTTTCCAGTGCGGCATCGTCCTCCCGCCGGGTATATAGCTGCACCACCTTCATAGCTGCCTAATCGCCAGGTCTCCAACTGGGCCGAGCCTGCCGCTTATAAACGAGGGACACTGAGGGGGGGGAGAGAAAGTGAGAGCAACAATAATAAGCTCCAATAGTGTAGGCAGAATGCCGGAACTATGGAGCTGTCAGCTGAAATAGTAAATTCGAAATCTCAGCAAGCCATACGGCTGCCGTACATAACTTAGCTTAGAGGCTATACTCGCTTTGCTCCTGCCGCATCTAAGCTACAATTGGTGATAGTTCTGCCACCAAATCAGCTCCATCCGACACATAAACGCGTACATACACACACACACACAGGCAGTGTGGCCGGTTGGGGCGCCGGGAATGATACATAACATTCCCGAGCGACTTCCCTCTGTTTTTTTTGGTCGTCCATCTGACCGCCCACTGTCCCATTCGCAACACATGTGCCGCATTCCCTCCCTGCCTCCACACGCGGCCTTGATGTGTTTTGTCTTTACCCCAGCTACCCCTAACCCCCAATATTACCTTACCCGAACAACATCTGCGAACTACTCCAGGGATGCCACGGAATTGGAGATCTCGCCATTCGGCCGCCGCATAGTGTCCCTATCCGGAGATGGCACGGTGAGAAGTGAGGTTAGATGAGCCCGGGGGGAAGTAATACGTGCCGTGTGCTGTGTGCCGTGTGTATGAAGGGGGCCATTGCCCCGGGCCCAGCAGGGTCCATGCTGACCACCCGGGCTAATCCCTCCTTGCTTCGGCGCACAAGTCTAAGAAGTACGAACTCTCGACTCGAACGACCACCAACCCCGCCCAGTTCCTTTTGTTCCACACAACCTCAAACCTCGCAACCACCCTTCGAGCATTTGCTTTCATGTGTGCCACCTCTTCTACCTGTTACCCTACACCGCTATAGAAAGGCTTGTTTCAAAGCAGCGTTATGTTTTTCCTCTTGAGACACAGCCCATTCCCGCTCCTCTGTGTCCCTTTCCAGGTCCGGGTATGGAGTTTGCTTGGAGTGAGCGTGCGGCGGGAGCTACCTCGTCATCCGGAGATGGTGAATGAGATTACCATTAGTCAGGATCGAACCTTGGTGGCCACCGTCACAGAGAATGAGGGTAAGAACATTCGCTTGGCTTGGCTTGGCTTGGCGGGCAGAAATGAGTGGAACATCTAAATGCTCTACATTTACAATTAATGTATAATCATGAATGTTGGTACTGATTGGGTGGGCGCACAAGCTTTTCGTCCAAAAACACCCTGCCGCCGTGGAATTTCACCCTGGAATTTCACCTGCAGCCGTGGCTTCCTGTCCGCTGGTCTCTCCTTTGATGGCCCCACTCCATCCCACCTCCTTCTCCCGACCGCCTTGCCAAACCCAAACTCCCCTAAACTCCCCTTCTCTCCGACCCTTTCCCTACCCCTACCCGTACACTCCCCACCCTCTCCCTCGTCACCAGGTTGTCTGCGCCTGTTCTCCATGGCCACCGGTCACCCCGTGGGAACAGTGGCGGCCCACGTGGGGTTTGACTGCGACGGTGTGGCGCTATCGGATGACGCAAGCCTGGTGAGACTGGGTCTGAGGAGGGGGTCTGGGTACCGGAGAACGTGTGCTTATTAATTTGAGGGAGGGGGGAAGGGTGTTTGAAGGGGGGAAGGGTGTTTGAAGGGGGGAGGGTGTTTGAGGGGGGAGGGGTTTATTTATCCAACGAAACGAGATGAAGGTGGCAGGAGGCGACCGCGCCGTGAGTGAAGGATGAAGGCAGGGGCTGGCGGGCTTTGAATGAGGGTGCGGGGTCGTTGTGGAGGAGGGTACTAATTAAGAATATGCTAGGTTGTGTAGGTGTAGCTGTGTGGAGGAGGGGCGTGCATGTGGTGTGTGTATGCGCTATGCTGGAGGGAGGGTAGGGGTTGTTTACTAGTTGGGGTGATCAATTAGGTTGAAAATGTCCGCATGCCGCCAAATCTTGGCGCCAATCGGGTCTTTGTTCAGTGCAGATTCCCAACCCCAGATGCCAGGGGTTTTTGTGTTTTGCCCCGATTTGCTCCCCTGGGGTTACCTTTCAAACCCTCCGTGTCTGAAACCCTGGTGCCGGCACCCAACTCCCCATGCCGTCCCGGCGGCCGCCGGCATGTGCACAGGTCTCCCACGACCCGTACACTAACTTGGCGGTATTGGCTGGTACGGCAGTGACGTGTTCAGACGACACGACCATCAAGATTTGGGACCTCAGCGCTAAGGGGGGCCCCAGGCTGGTGCGGGTGAGGATGTGGGGGTTTCAGGGTAATCGCACCGGCAGGCGGGTGAAGAAAGCAGGAGGAGAGGAAAGGGGAGAACGGGTACGGACATACACAACCCGCATACGCACATGTACGACACAACTTAGAAACCAGAGAGCCGTTACGATAGGGCGGACTAATGCACGGTGGTGCTCAGGGGTCCTGATGAGCAAAGAGGGGTCGGTGCTGCCGTATACGACACTGGACGAAGCAGTACATGCACAGGTACGGCGACTCTAAAAGGAGTTACAAGAAAAAGCGGGGCCAATCGGATACGCTTATGTCGTACGAGCTGTACTGCATGCCTTACACCTCGTGGGATGTGCGAACCGTAAACCCTTTTCATCCCACGCCAAAATCCATCACGAGGGTCCTGCCCTCAAAGCAAGCAGCATAGACAAGTTGCTAGCGCGCCAGCCCAAAATCAAAACACCTCCAGCCCACGTCCGTTTCACGCCCTTGAGCTTTTTGCCCCCGCTCCCTCGGCCCGTATGCCTGTCCCTCACTTTTTTCACCTCTGCGCTTTCAGACGCTGTACGGCCATGCGGGTGGTGTTACGGGGGTGTGCTGGGTGCCCGGTACCAGCAGAGTTCTGTCGGTGGGTGAAGACCGGTAAGTGCAGCTCGGGGGGGGGTATTCGCGGTGCGCTGAAAAGGTGCGTTGCATCAGCACCGTAGCACGTTGTGTTAATAAAAAAAACAAGTGACATGCCAGTGTGCGCAGGTCGACTAAACACATGGCTGAAACCGCAACCCCTAACCGCCCAACCCTGCAACTGTCCAACCGCACTTCGCTGCGTTTGTCTGCAGATCCGTGTTGGAGTGGGAGGCCGGACCCACGGGTCGCAACAGCCCAGTCGCGAGAATGGACCACGTGCATGAGGATGCTATTACGGCAGTCGTGGTGAGGCGGGCCGGCCGGGGATTGCGGGGCCCCGGGTGGGGATGTATACACAGTTGCACACGCAACCTTACTGATAGCCGCGCCTGGACACTACGGACATATGTAATGTCGTACATACGCATTGAGTCAGGTCCCCGAGCGGCTAGGAACGCCGCCGGCGAATCTTTCTACAGCACTACCACATCATTTAGCAAAATCGAGGATGAAAAAACACGTGTTATTGGAATGCCCAGCCCATAATGATATTCGTGCGGAAGAGGGATTCGATCAACAACAGAGCATGTAGGAGGCCATGAAATGGGAGCCAGTACGTCTGGCGAGGATGTTGGAACGTATGTGGGCTCGCTGCAACTCGGTTATCCCCTCTGGGCGCAAGTCTGGGCTGATAGTACGGTGTTCCCTGTTCTCCGTGGCTTTTAGGCGTTTAGGTAGGTATTGCCCTTGGGCCTTCGGCTCGTATGGGTAGTTTTACAGGTATGGGGTCAAGCACCCCCAACCATGTAACACACACACACACATCATTTGGGTGTTTCGCTCTTCTCTTCATTCATCGTAGTTATTAGGGCCTGTCTTACCTTTAGGGTATATAGACACGTTAGGACGCACATATACGCACCACCTCCTTTGGCTTGCTCCAAGGAATCAATCCACCTCCCCCCCCTCCATAAACCCGTCTGAGCCCCCTCCAAGAAAAACACCGTGTCACCGTCACCCGTAGGTCAGTCCCGACGCCCGACGCGCCCTGACCTGTTCCATGGACCGTACGGCACGGCTGTGGGAGCTGACTCCGTCGATGGCACCGTCGCCACTGACCCATGGGTCGAGCCGCAACGGCCCCAGCGGCGCGCGCGGCCGCGACAGGGCCCAGCCAGCACTGGCGCATGCGGCCGCTGCCGCGGCGGCGGCCTTGCACGCCAGCCAATCTACCAGCGGAGCGCCCCATGCGCCATCTCGGCCGGAGCTGCACCGTTTCATGCACGAGAACAGTGTGACCCATGGGTCATTCTCCCCGGATAGGCGCCACGTGGTTACTTGCGGAGCCGACTGTGCCGTACGGCTGTGGGACACGGACAACGGTATGTGTGCGTATATGCGATGTGGATAACCGCTATTTACAACCGTCGCCCCACTAACTGCCACCCACACCATATTCCCCGACCACTCACCCAAACCCTCAGGCAAGCAGTTGGTGTGTTTCGAGGGCCACACCCGCACTGTCACCCGCTGTGTCTACCTGAACAACTATGTGGTGGCCACCACCAGCAGGGATGGAACCATACGCTGCTGGGATATGCAGGTGGTTGGTTGGTTGGGCGTTGATTGGCCGTTGGGAGTTGGTTGAGACAGCGAATTGGCGGCAATATAGGCGGCCTGTCAAACCCCCAGCAACCACAACAAAGTCTCTTTTCTCCGGGGCCACGAATTTCCCCCCCCCCTCTTCCTCCTCCTTTCTGCGGGTCTTTCATTCTTTTTCATTCTTCTCCTCAACTTGTCTCCTCGTTTTGACCAGGGTCCCAAGGGCCCCACTTCCATTAATTTCCTGTGTAACCGAACGATCCCGTTATAAAAACACATAAACTAGATAACCTAAGGTGGGGGGCAGGGCCCAGGCAACTCCGAAACCCCCGAACGGTCCCATCTCCCCCTTCCTGTCTGGCAGCGCAAGCGGCGTCTGCCCACCTTGGCGCCCCCTTTCGCTTTGGAAAGCGATTCCTTCGAGGCCATGGTGCTGCTGCCCTCGCAACGGTGCGGATACGGCTTCCCCGAGGTGCTGGCCTCCCTGGCCAGCGGTAGAGTGGTGGTGAGTTCGTGGGTTCGTGATTGGGGAAGGGAAGAGGATTTTGGGGGGGGGGGAGGAGAAGGGTTTGGGGCGGAGGGGAACCTCAGATCCGGGCTCCTTATATCCCTGGGAGCTCGGGAGGGGGGCCCTGCCTAACATTTCATCTGCTGCTTGCCCTGCCTGCCTTTTATAAGCTCCTCTAGGCCTAGGACATTTTGTGATTGCCTGACAATGAGATAACCGCGGAAAGGTTCGACACAGACACGTCGCCAATGATCTGCGTGTATGTCTTTCCGTACGACCTACCGTTGTACAGGTGTACGACCCGACCTATCGTCAGCCCCTGCCAGAGCAGTTGCTGCTACAGCTGAATCCGGATCTGGAATTGCTGGGCCCTACAGACGTCGAGGTGTGCACGGGGCAAATGGGGGAGGTTTTAAGCGTTGGCATTTGGATTTGGACTTGGACTTGGATTAGGACCGGGTTAGGCTAAGCACATATACACACATATCCACACAAATATACGCGCGAGCTTCTTTGTGTGCCTGTAGACATAAAGATGATGTCATTACCGCGATGGAGGGGGTTATCCCTCCCGTCCTCAGCAGCTGGCTTCGTAAACTGGTTTTTAGCTGGTCCTCGTTGTTGCCCGTCCCGCCAACCCTTTTTGATGCCCCACCCAAGACTTCTCTTAAACCTCCTCCCCACTCCCTGTCCCCCACCGCCAACCTCCAACTGACAACCGACAATTCATCCACCTAAAACACAGGACCTTGTCGTGGACTTCCCCGGACTGCTGGTGATGCCCATCAGAGACGGAAACACCATGCTGCACATGTACGACACTGTATGGAGAGCTTTTATCTTTGTACGACACTTTGTAAATTTGTAAAAATTGTAAAAAGGCAATTCAATATGTGATGGCTTGACCGTGTGTTTTTACTCAGTGACCGTTGCCGCTTAGAGGCTCTGCTGTGGTATCCTGCTGTCCGAGATTTAGCCGCAATTGCCACAACCATCAACCACATCACAACCGCCACAACCATCACTCCAACAGCTACCGCCATCACGAGCCACATACACAATTCTCTGCACATTGTATCGCACCACTTCCTCAATGTTGGGGAGATTTTCCCCACGCACACATCCTTAACTCCATCACCATCCTAAGCCTACACCACACAACACATCATGCCAATCCGGTCATGCCACATCACATCACACCGTACGGCAGGGTGGCTATGTCCGGAGATTCCGTACTGCTGCGAGCGCTGTTGTCAGGAACCTCTGGCGGATTGGGGGGACCTGGCCGCGGGGGTATAGGGGGCCTGGGAGCTGGCGGCGGCGCCGATTTTTCCGGCGGTGGCGGCGGCGGCGGCAGCGGGGGTGTAGGCGCCCTGGGGGCCGGAAGCCTCGGCGGCGGCGGCAGGCTGTACGGCAATGCTCCGCCGCTGCCGCTCAACTTTGGCGGCCAGACTCCGCTGGATCTAGCAGTAGCAGCGGGACACCGTCGCTGTGCGGAGCTGCTGCTGAGTACGGAATTGGCGAGGCCTCCAGAGCAGCGTCTGGCGGTGCTGAGGGTGGGTTGGGTTTTTGGAACCCGAATGTTTATGTGGGGTTTATTTCAGTTAAGGTCACTAGAGGGCATTTGATGCGGTGGTATTACGTGATTGCACGCGCGTGTGTGCATGTGCGTGTATGTATACATGTATGTATGTACGGTGTATGTGGAGGAGCCCTTCATACCCTTCGGTGCCCCCTTCGGGATACCTCCCCCCGCACCCGTAAAAGGGGAGATATCCGAAGGGTGCATCGAAGGGTATGAAGGGCTCTTCATCCCGTAGGATGTCCCGTTCAGGTTAATCCGTTGATCGAATGGTTGAAGGTGAAGGAGGTGCTGCGGGGGATGACGACAAGGAGTCTGGCCGCGTGCTGAGTGGTCGACAGTCTCCGTCAGACGGGTTACAAGTTTGCTGACCAGAATGGTGGGCAGTTCAATTTGAAAACACGCAATTTTGCGTGCGTGCGTATATGCGTTTATATGTGCGTGTGTATGTGCGTGTGTATGTTTGTACTTGTCGGACAGGCCCTCCCCTACCCCGCCCTCCTCCCGCCTCCGCAGGCCTGGCACTCATTGGCGGTCGAGATGCCCTCACTGTTGGTGTCCTTCCTCAAGGTACGACACATACACACACAAAACACAACACGCACTCCCCAGCCTCTGCGACACACCTCCCCGACACGTCATGAACCCTCAATGACAACCCTACGGGGGGTAACCCTTCCCCGCAACTCTCCCATCTGCGTCACCTTTCCCTGACATACCCCCGTCCGATCATTGTCACTCTTTCGACAAATCTTTCGGCCATCTCCCTGCCACCCTCATGTTCCCTCCTCAGCTCCCTTCCCTACATTCCCTGCTCCTCACCCCCTTTCAGCCCCTTCCCCCAAACCCCCAAACCCCCAAACCCCCAAACCCCCAAACCCCCAAACCCCCAAACCCCCAAACCCCCAAACCCCCAAACCCCCAAACCCCCAAACCCCCAAACCCCCAAACCCCCAAACCCTCAAACCCCCAAACCCCAAACATATTTTCCCATCTCGACAGGCGCTCAGTTTGGATCCCGCGGGGGGGCTGGAGGAGGACGTGCTGTTCGCACCCCTGAGGGCCAATGACGAGGTCATGACCCTTGGGTCGGAGGTACGGGTCCAGTCCAGACGGAATTCAAATGTTGGGGGGCCCTGCGGCCTCCCGCGTAACAAACGGTGCGCGATCTCACCACCAAGACGCGCGGACGGAATCCTGATAGGAAACCCAACACTCTGAACGCCTTTTTTGGATTGTCTTTTATTGTCCTTTTTGGTATCCGCCTTTCTTACCTTCGCCCTTCTTACCTTCCAGTACCTTCCTTACCACGCCGCCTTAATTTCCCCTGTCCTGCCTACCCTGATAATCATGATGTCGTCTACCTCGCCCCTCATTCTCTCGGCCGGCACACCCTCCTTCCTCACCTCACGTGGCGTCTCTTTTCATTTTTTCTTCATTTTTCCCAATCACCCCCATTAGGATCTGGCCGCTGAGGACTTGTGGTTGGATCACGTCAACCAACTGAGGGAAGACCTAATC